CACCAGATATAGCAAGACTCAAGGTAAAATTTGAGCTGGAGCCCTTCGTAGAGGAACTGACTCCTGGTCACCTCATTTCCTTTTCCTGATCACGGGAATCACCTTCTGTCCCATATAACACTCCCCACCCCCATCTTTCATGTGACAGCTTCTTATTTGGTAGAGGAATAAGGTGTGGGAGGAAGGGGAGGATTTAGGTAACTTTAGCTGTCTAAGTTCTGAAAAGTGCTTTGCATCTCCTCCTCCCCCTGGCCTGGTCCCCTCCCCCGTTCTGATCATGTGAATGCACTACCTCACCACTTAGTTGTCTTTTCCTCCTTTCCCTTGCACAGGCTGCCCAGTCCCCTTCTCCCCACGGCAGTCTCCTCCCCACCAAAGCATTCCCTTCCCATTGGCTCCTCCTGGGTCTTCCCCTTCTATGCATCAGTGATCTCTACTGGAGAAAGCTGTGCTAACTTAACCAGGTTTCCTTCTGTCTTTAACAAATGCCAAAATTCCCCACCCTCCCACCCTCCCTTAATCTTTTTTTAAAAACCGCCTAGATCCTGTGAGAACAGACCAGATTATGAGAACCGCTGCGTTAGAACTCTCAGACTGAGACCGGAGAGTCATGCGTCTGCAGCCCAAAAAAGACTTTCTTCCTTTGGAAGACTTTCCCCTGCTAAGGGCAACTCATTAACCAGGCTGAAGCGTGCCTGCTGTGTGTCTGAGAATCACACTGCTCTTAATCCTTGCTCTGGTCAGCTCAGCAGCTATAGGAACCACAAGTAATGCTGGACTACACTGCCTCTTCCCATCATCCCCCATGAGGGACTGGGATTTTAATTCACTGAAGGGACACTGGTTAAAGAATCATATTTTTACGTACGTTTCTTTAAAGGTGCTAGCACCTAGGGGGATGTCTACATGGGGATTAAAAAAAGAAACACCTGTGTCTGGCCTGGCTCAGCTGACTTGGGCTTGAGCTGCGTGATGAAAAATTGCTGTGTAGATGTTTGGTCTCAGGCTAGAGTCAGAGCTGTGGGACCCTGCAAGGGTGGAGCGTACCAGAGCTAGGGCTCCAGCCTGAGACCAAATGTGTACACAGCAATTTTTAGCCCTGCAGCCCGAGCTCAGCAAGCCCGAGTCAGCTGACCCAGGCCAGCTGTGGCTGTGCCACAAGGCTCTTATCCCCATGTAGACGTACCCTTAGATTATTACAATGGAATGGATTCTGAAAATCTCATGGTTTTCACCATGTATGTAGTTTGCTTTTTGCATGTCACTCACCTCAAATCACAAAAATAGTTTGGACTGTATCACTTCTGTTTCCAGTCAGTTTTACTTTCCAGCTCTCAGGCACTAGCCAAAGGGTTGCAAAAATTGGGTTGCTAACATTGCAGGGGACTGTTTCTTAAAAACCAAATAAAAACCAAAAACCCTGACCTCAGTAGGAATATAAGTAATGCAGTTCCAGCTCAGATGAATAGTCATCAATAGAACAAGAGGCCAGTATCAGATACTTACAAGTTAGATTCAAGAAACCCCAAGGGGGTAATTATTAAATTATCGGCCTATAATGGAAGTGTCTTCCTTACATCCTCCATTAGATATTGGCTTGTATCCCGACACAGAAAGGCTTGTATCCATTTCAGGGCTGTGAGCAGGAATTTGAATTTCACCACTTTTGGAGGGGCACGTCAGAGCAGTGGCCAGGGCTGGGGGCCGGAGCAGAAATACATATTTTTTTGATGAATATTGCTTGTCGTTTCCCCCCCCCCCATCACACTATCCTTTAAATTCTGCCAAAGTCTTGGCCTCCCTGAAATCTCATGCCAGTAAAATTCTACCAGCAGGTTGTGCGTGGTTTCTTTTATCAGTTTTAAATTAGCTGCCTTTCAATTTTGTTCTATGGCCTCTTGCTCTTGTATTATGAGAGGGGTAAGCTGGAACACTGGCTTTACCCTCTCTGTACCATTTGATAGGATCACCTGATTTCCCTTTTGTACCATTAAATATTTTATCTATTGACTTGTCTTATTTGTCTCCTCTGCCACCTGCCCAAGTCCAAACCTTCTCTATTTCTGCAAAAGATTAAAAAGGGGAAATATTTCCATTCATCTTAACTTTTATAGAAGCTTGTTTAATTAAAAATACTAAATTATGAATCAAAGAAACCAGTCCTGGCTCGCTAATGGACTGCACAGTTAATTTCTCAGTCCTTAATCAAGCAGAGCTCCAATGGAGAGCAGGGACTTCAGAATTTGGACTCTGTCCTCTCCAGCGCATCCAACTTTTTCTGCCCACCAGAACTTTAATTTTTTGTCTTATTAGCTCAACTCCGCAGAGAATCTGAGCTGTAAGTGCTGGGAAGTTTTGGATAAATTAGTTTTCTTTTTCTCAAATTCTTTAGAATTATGACTGGTGAAAAATGAAAAATTCCCCAATTGCGAGCGTTTTCCAGCTGCATCTTTTTGGTTTCCTTTCCCCAGCCACCGCCAAGCTGCGCTATTACTAACCATAATGGTACTAATAAAGGCTTGTATGATAACACTATATTTATTCATTCTTTCCTCCTCACACTTTCATTTCATATTGTTTGTTTGCAGCTCTAGTGTGGACTGAATCATTCGGAACATGTATCTGAGAAACAAAAGTGAGACGAAACAAAGATTGCACTCACCTGGCGCCCAAAGCAAGGGGAGATTCCAGAGCCCACAGAGCCCAGTTTCAGTCCCCACACCAACATCTTGGTGGCTTATTCTTTCTTACTATTTTTTTTCCCCCTCTGGATGTGCATTTTCAGTAGGCGACGCTCAAATAAATTGGTTAGTCTCTAAGGCGCCACAAGTCCTCCTTTTCTTTTTGTGAATACAGACTAACACGGCTGCTACTCTGAAACCTGACATAGGATTTGGTGTCTTTTACAAATGATTCACTAATTACCAATCTGAAGCGACTTCTTGTTGTGCGAGTTGACTTTAGAACGATGCGCAGAACCAATTTTTCAGTTCGGCAGCTAAACAAAAATTTAAAAGAACATTTCGGGTCCACCCAAAAATGAGAAAAAAACCCCCCAAAAAACAAACACCCCTATTTTCTAGCCAAAAAAGGGGGGAAATTCTTTTGGGTTGAACAAAACATTTTGTTTGAGGGTTTTGTTTTTTAAAAACCTACCTTTTTCAAAATGCTGCCTGTACCATGTATTCACCCACCCATGTACTCTATCTGTCCCCTTACTCTGCTTTCCCCCACTTAAATTCTGCTTTGCAACAGTTGTAATTTTAGGGTTTACCAGAACACCGTGCATCATTAAGGATGGAGAGGAATATGGCCCAAAATCATTAATTAAATGAACTGGTTATTGTTTTTTACCAGAGCAAATTGACAGTCCATACAGCATGGCACTTAACCCCTCCCACCCATCCAACAACCCATCCAAACCCAGTTCCATGGGCTTATCCAGAGCCTTCTCTTCCAACCATCAGCCCTGCACATCATCTCCCAAAGAGTGTCACAAGATTGTAAACAAAAGATTGCATTAGGTTAGACAAAGTGCCATCAAATGTGCTACTCTAGGGGGTCTCAACCTTGTTTATAGCGTGGATCCCCCTCTTAATGGAGAAATTGCCTCTTGGACACCTCCCATCCCAGCCTCCCATGATCCTCTGCACAACTTCAGACACCACTCTGGCAGCTGTAGAAACACTTGCTCCATAGACCCAACTGTCAGCTTTCTCCTCTCTTGCTCAGAAGATGTGCTCAGTGTTCATGAAGTTCCTGGAGCTCCAACCTCCCTCCCCAACCCCCTCAGACCCCCCCCACAACCTAGCAATCTTCCCCCCACCACAAGCACCCTCTCAGCCCCAGCTTTTCCATGTCCCCCTTTCCATAGGACTCCCAGAAACCTGCTGCGTCCTACTGACCTTACTCCCCTCTCTCCTTGTTCAGAACCCTCCATGCCCAGAAGGGGGTCTGAGCCCCTCCTCCACACCCAGCTGCTCTCTAAGCTTTTCCCTTCTGCTACCCACAACCGCCACGACAGACACCCTTCAGCCTCTGCCTCCTGAGCTCCCCCTTTCTTTCCTTCCCCCTATTCATAACCCCCCTCCACCACACACAGCCCCTACAGCTGCTGCAGAGAGTGCTCTTTCTACATCCTCTCCTGTCCTAACTTCCCTCCTCTGTCCAGACTCATTCTGCTGACATGCTGGCTAGCTTCAAGCACCAGCCCTTTCTTTTCCCCATGTTCCCTTGCTTCAAGGCCCAGCCATAGCTTTGTTCCTTCTCCACTCTCCAGTGTCTCCCCCTCCTTTGTCCTGCCCCCATAATGAACATCTGGTGCATGGCCTCTTCTCCCTGCTGGGCTAAGTATCCCTTTATCGCCTACCCCCAATGCTCTCCTCCAAACTCCTTCCTGCAACTATGATGCAACAGAGTCAGGGCACGTGGAGAAACCAATTGTGGTCAGAGCAGGACACTGCGGAAAGAAGGGAAGTTAGTTGCGGGGAATGGAGAAGGGATGAGGAGAAGAGAACAAAAGGTTCCCCTTCCTCTGACATTTTCTCTTTCTGGGAAAAGCCCCAAGATCCTGTTAGTGCCAGTTAACAGATTTCCCGTTACTGATGGTTTGTGGCTTAAGGCCTGCTCCTGGCTCCAGTCCCTCAGGGTAGCTACTGGCCCTGCTGCAGCCTTTGGGTTTATCTCTAAGAACTTTGAGGTTCAAGTCCCCATGTCTTACAGAAGCTTATTATAGGGGTCACTAGTGGCTGCTGCTTTGCTGGCTCCTCTCATTGTTATTTCTCTATCACTGTATTCGCAGCAACTCTCAGAGGAGTACCCACCACAAAGTTAATTCTTGCTTTATCTATTCCCTCTTTCAGATAGTTCAAAACTCCCAGCATCATAAAATACAGCACAGCCCCCCAGGCCTCGAAGAAACAGCCTTTGGGTTCGTGGCATTAGAAGCAACAACAAACAATACGCATAATACAAAGATGTTAGAAAATACAAAACTTGTGTTTTATTGTGCAGATCTGCAAAACTATAATTTAACAGTCTCTGATAAATACCTACTGCATTATATATACAACTATGCTTATTGGCTCATTTATTCAAACATAAATAGAAATAAAAAAAAATTTGTGGGATTTTTTTTTTTTATAAAACATGGCAAGTTGCACGTAATGTGATTCATGTGGAAGTCTGAGATGTTACAAATACAGCTAGACATCAGTTTCACACATCCAAACCCAGCACTGTTTTCATTTCACCATGGTAAGGCAAAATTCTCCCAACACCATGCATTCATCTGTCCAAGAGTTCTCTAAAGGGAGGAAGCTTGTCAGGGCCTTGTTTATCATTTTTAGTGTGCTGTCCATGCCTCATGTCCTTGGTGCATATGGGAAGAACCTGGCAGAAGAGAAAAACATTGCTTTTTAATAAAATGTGAATGATTTTGGTGCTGGAGTAAGGCGCAAGGCTGACTGCCTTGTCTGCTGATGGACTGCTTCTGCCTGTACCAGAGATGGAGGACAAGTTTCTCCCACATGGTCCCACCAATGGGACTCTAGTGATTAGAGCAGTACAGCCTCCAAAAGCGATCTTTAATCTTAGCCTCTCTGCACAGTGCTGCTTTCTCTACAATGTTGAGCTGTTGCTGAAAGTATTTTCCAGCAGTGGTTCCCCTGATTTTGTACTGAAAACTGTTTAAGGACCATACTGTAGATCAGACTAAACCATTTCCATTTTGGTTTCTCAAAACACAACTGAGGCTTGCTTCCAACAAGATAGGCATCATAGACCGGTGAATACGGACGGAGTCAGATCTGGATGATCTCTAGAAAGTCACTTCACTTTTTCTGTGCCTCAATTTCCCTACCTGAAAATGGAGTTAATGATATTCACCATCCTTTTCAAAATGCTTAGATATAAAAATGAAAGGTCATAGGCAAGAACTAAGTAGCAGTGTAAGGCATGCACAAAAGGGAGTGCTATGATTTTCCATTGATAGTGAAATTTACACAGTGATTGATTTTTGGGACCTCCCTCCCCGCACCCCCCTCTGCCACATACACACACAAATAGATGGGGTAATTTCTAGATACTCCCTATCCTGGCTCAGGTACAGGGGCAGCTATTTTAATCTGAGCCCTATTTCCTACAGATCTCTGAGTCACCTTCTGCTCTGCATTACAGGTGTGTGCTATAAGTTTATGGTTTCAAGAGTTCTAAAACATTTATTGCCTCAATTTAAAATGGTTCAAAGTATTAGGAATATGTGGCTACAAAACCGTAGTTTCAGTTTGTTGTTTTACTCTATGTTAGGCCAAGCCATGGGCACAGAGCACTGTAAAGGAGCAAAAGGCTTAAGCCAAGTGGCTTAGTGTTATTAGGCTATTTAATCAAATTGTTCAGCCATGTGTGATGGGGCAAGGCCAGATGGCTATAGAAAAGTAGTGGGAGACAGATATATTAGCTCCAGGCTAAACCAATCCTTGGTACCAGGATAAGTGAAATGGCAGCTGCTCTAGGTCAATTAAGACACCTGGTGCCAATTAAGAACTTTCCAGAAGGCAGGGAGAATGCTAGGTTGATTGGGACACCTGAAGCCAATCAGGGGCTGGCTGAAACTAGTTAAAAGCCTCCCAGTCAGTCAGGTGGGTGTGCCTGTCAGGAGCTGTGAGAGGAAGTTGAGCTGTTGGAGAGGCTGAGTAGTACACACCATATCAGGCACAAGGAAGGAGGCCCTGAGGTAAGGGTGAAGTGGATCTTGAGGAATTGAGGGCTGCTGTGGGGGAAGTAGCTCAGGGAATTGTACATGTCATGTTTCTAAAAGGTCAGCTACCATAGCTGATACTATTAGGGTCCCTGGGCTGGAGGCCAGAGTAGAGGGTGGGCCTGGGCTCCCCCCCTCCCCACCTTTGCCCCCTGATTAATCACTGAGACTGGGAGACAACAGAGACTGTGCAAGGAAGGATAACTTCTCCTCACCTCCCTCGCTGGCTTATGATGAAAATGGCTCAGTAGACTGTGACCCTTGTCTCTAGAGAAAGAAGGGTTACGTGGAGGGTCACAGTGAGACTATGAGGCTAGCGAAATCCTCCAGGAAATGCGGGACCCACGGAGGCAAGGACAGAGCTTTGTCACACATGTTAAACTGGTTTTGAGCCATTTTAGTTTGAGCCCTGTTCCACACAGACCCCTGAGTCTCTCTTTGCTCTGTATTACAGGCGCCTGTACTATCAGGACCAGAAGAACCCTGTGACTTCGAAGACTGGAGCCTGAGTTTGACTGTGTTACAGCAGCATTGTCATATTCTCAAACAAGATTACACAGGAATCACAAAACACTCAGAGGCAAGTTTGACAAGTATTGACAAACCCAATGTTTAAAGTCTAGGTTCAGTGTAGCAGCCATGAGTTTATTTACTAGCACAGACTAGCCCCTGAAGAGGTATTTTGGGAAGACTCACCCAACAGAGATCAGCTTTGTTTCTATCCATTTGGTGTTGTCGCTTCCAGCGGATGGACAAGATGCAGAAGCAGATGCACAAGAGCCCCAAGGGAATCAAAGCAACCAATACGTAGATTGTTACAGCATCGACTGTTGCTGATTGGCCTGTAGGGAAATCAGTAAGCCTTTAACATGGTCTGCCACTGAATAACTATCTGTCAGACACTCCTTCACCATTCTCCAAAGGAAAGAAGAAAAAGGGAAGGCTATGGGTACAGGGGTCTGACAGAGAAGGGAGAGGGGCAAACATGCAGTGGCATATATGAGGGGCACTTCCAAACAAAATTCCTTTCACCAGGGCCTCATGCACTGTTTATATACACAACAGTTTGTGCCCAAGGTTTTTGTGGGGGCCATTTTATTTCTGTGGCCTGGTGTTAGGTGAGTGTCACCACCAGTCACTCTTCTCTCTCTCCCATGTGTACCAGACCCACCTCCCCACTTCTCTCAGGTGCCCCAAAGGTCCTTGTCCTCTCTCCCTCCTGTGCCAAGAGTTCCATCATTCTCTTCCAGCTTTTCTGGGAGCACCTCCCTTTCTTCTGCCCCAGCCTCCCCTCCTTTGAACTGCCTCTTTCTCTTCTCCCTCCTGTATCAGAGAACACAGCTTCCTTTTTCCTCTTCCCCACACCAAGCTCACACTCACCCTGGACCTGCCCATCCTTGGACAGAGTCAGCGTCACGTTTAAGAGCGGATGTTGGATCACACAGCCAGCTGGGTTCTCCCAGTGAATCCTGGAGGGGACATGTGTGAAATTGCTGATAACAGTCACAGTCTGGTCTGAGTGATTGATGAGATACTGTCCTGGCTCCTGCTGAAGGTGATGGGACAGGTTCCAGCTGATCACTGGAGCTGGTTTCCCTGTTACTGAGCAGCTTATTTCCAGCACCTCCTCCTCACCATTGTCTGCACTGGACACGAGCTTGGCCTCCAGTATGGGCTCTGATATTGCTGTTAAGCACAAGAAGGAAAACCCGTTATTAACACTTGCAGCTCTGTCACTATGGTAACTTAGCGAGCATGCTTGGGCAAAGAGGAACTTGGTGCCTGTGTCTACTGTTGATTGAAGAGAACAAGGACGGCATTCGGTTTTACTGCTCAGTGCTGTCTATCGTCTCAACCTGACAGGGTCCAGCTTGTGATACATGGACTTTCAAAATGTCAGACAACAATGCCAAAATGAAGAAGTCATGGAGGCACAGGGTCTGCACTAGGCCATAGCTTTTAAACAATCCCTTAGAGGAACCCCTTCAGTGCACCAGACTCCCAGGGGGATTTCACTCTTCCTTAAGGGTATCCCACACAACCTCAACGGCTCCAAGACTGAGGGTTGGTCCACACAAGGAAAGTTAGGTCAGTCAAAATCCATTGCTCCAGTGTGTGAAAAATTCATACCGCTGAGAGACATAGTTAAACTGACTTAAGCCCCAGTGTAGACAGCACTAGGTCAACCTAGTTACCACCTTTTAGAGAGGTGGATTTACTACAGGGAATGAAGAATCCTTTTCGTTGCTGTATTGTGTGTACACTACAGCTCTATAGCTGCATTGCTCCAGCTGTGCCACTGTGTCATTTCTAGTTTAGACATAGCCTGAGCCTCTGGGCTCCAGCACACCTGTTTCACACCCTGAGCTCTGCCCCGCAAGTCCAATTGAGATGGTCTCTGAAGAGGAGTCTTTTTGTCCTATTCTGGGATCAATGCACCTCAGCTAGTATTTGCAGTGATCTCAGGCAGCCTTTCCAAAACAGAGTAGGGTTTGTTAGCCAACTAACACAGTGTTACCAGGTCCTTAGGTTAGTATAGAGATGCAAAGGCCAAGACAGAGTTCAGACTGGCCAGTGTCAGGGCTCTAACCAGCCAAGCTGCTGTAGAAGCCATCTTGGCCGGTTTCAGCCTGTCCTTAAATGACCCATTCAGACCTCCCCAGACAGTTAGGTGACCCAGCACCTCATATCTTCTGCTCTGCCTCAAAAGCAGCTTTTTAAACTCTTTGTGCTCGGTCCATAGCAATTCAAACTTCAGAGGGAAACTGAAGTATGCATCGGAATAATAAAAATATTAGCCAAATTCCCACATTCCTCAAAGAAGAAAGCAGCCAAATCAGAGGCGGGGAGAATAGAAACGTGGGTGTCACAGACCAAGACTCAATAACATCATTATCAGATTTCAACAATAGTGCTAAAGAGTCAGTAAAAAGCAGCAGGTGGTGTACATGGGAAGTAAAAAATCAAATGTAGCTCTAAAATTGGTGATCGTCTCCACTCAGCCAGATTTCTGTTTCTTTTCTGTTTAATTTTTTAAGGGGAATTACTGCTAGATGAAAGATTCTGGGGCTCTCAGCCCTGCAACTGAAGTCCTCTGTTTATACAAAAGTAGTGCAAGCTTCCCCACACAGACAACTTCCAATCAATGTATGATAACATTTACTGCATATTTCTGTGGTCATGTAACTGCAGCTGATCAGTGTCTGTCAATAATGTGCACATTTTTTTTGTTTCTTTTACATGACATTTAGGGTGTGTTTATATTTAGAGATTATTATCATTGTCAAGGACAAGATTTACAAAAATGGGTTCCTGAAGTTAGGTGGCAAAATATGGCTTTAGAAACCAGAGGCTTGGTTTTCACAAGTGCCGAGTGAGCATCCAGCAGCTCCCATTAACTGCAACAGGAGCTGATGGGTGCTCAGCACTTGTGAAAACCAATTCACTTATTCAGATTCCCCCATCCTGCCAAGATTTATGTGGGCACGTAACTTCACACATGTGAATAGTTGCATGACGTTCGGTGCGACCACGCATCTAAGTGACAGGTTTCAGAGTAACAGCCATGTTAGTCTGTATCCGCAAAAAGAACAGGAGGACTTGTGGCACCTTAGAGACTAACCAATTTATTTGAGCATAAGCTTTCGTGAGCTACGGCTCACTTCATCGGATGCATTCAGTGGAAAATGTTCACGAATGTTCCACAGTGGAAAATGTTCCTGTTCTTTCATCTAAGTGATGCATCTGTGTAGGATTAGAGCCTAAATATGGGATTAGGAGCCCAAACGTAGCCACCCATTTTTGAAAATCTTGACCAGAGTATTATGTAATTGCAGCCACAGCAGCTCTGATTTAATTTGAGTCAGAGCTAAGAGTTCTGCTGTGATGAATGAGTATATTATGTGGGCAATGCAATTTTTATGCTGTGATGAACTATTCATTACCTAACTTTGAAGTGCTGGGCTTGTGAGTGATGTGATCGATAACTTCATTGCCATCATTAGCAACTGTACCAATTTTTAAACAAACATTTTTATTTTTGGAAATTCCCAGGTTTATCAGTGTTTTATAAATCATTGCTTCCTCTTGCACAGGTAAATGACGATAGTATTCTTAAAAATTCATATTCATGGAACAGACGAGAAACTAACTTAAAGGAAAGTGTGGGATCAGCCAAGTTTATATTGGCTCCTGCAGATAGCTGTACCATTCAATATGCACCTGACAAGACTGGATGAATTTTCCAAGCCATAGTGGTAGGAGGGCAAAAGTAGGACATCATGTGGCAACCTTAATAATGGAGAGGCTACAGCCACTCCGTACTCAGAGTTGGAGACAGAGACATTCTAGAGGGGAACTGTCATAAATATAAAGGGAAGGGTAAACCCCTTTAAAATTCCTCCTGGCCAGAGAAAAAAATCCTCTCACCTGTAAAGGGTTAAGAAGCTAAAGGTAACCTCACTGACCAAAATGACCAATGAGGAGACAAGATACTTTCAAAAGCTGGGAGGAGGGATAGAAACAAAGGGTCTGTGTGTCTGTCTATATGCTGGTTTCTGCCGGGGATAGACCAGGAATGGAGTTTTAGAACTTTTAGTAAGTAATCTAGCTAGGTATGTGTTAGATTATGATTTCTTTAAATGGCTGAGAAAAGATTTGTGCTGAATAGAATAACTATTTCTGTCTGTATATCTTTTTTGTAACTTAAGGTTTTGCCTAGAGGGGTTCTCTATGTTTTGAATCTAATTACCCTGTAAGGTATCTACCATCCTGATTTTACAGGGGGGATTTCTTTATTTCTATTTACTTCTATTTCTATTAAAAGTCTTCTTGTAAGAAAACTGAATGCTTTTTCATTGTTCTCAGAGCCAAGGGTTTGGGTCTGTGGTCACCTATGCAAATTGGTGAGGCTTTTTATCTAACATTTCCCTGGAAAGGGGGGGTGCAAGTGTTGGAAGGATTGTTCATTGTTCTTAAGATCCAAGGGTCTGGGTCTGTAGTCACCTAGGCAAATTGGTGAGGCTTTTTACCAAACCTTGTCCAGAAAGTGGGGTGCAAGGTTTTGGGAAGTATTTTGGGGGGAAAGACGTGTCCAAACAGCTCTTCCCCAGTAACCAGTATTAGTTTGGTGGTGGTAGCGGCCAATCCAAGGACAAAGGGTGGAATATTTTGTACCTTGGGGAAGTTTTGACCTAAGCTGGTAAAGAGAAGCTTAGGAGGTTTTTCATGCAGGTCCCCACATCTGTACCCTAGTGTTCAGAGTGGGGAAGGAACCTTGACAGGAACACTAAGCTGATCTTATTTTTTATCTTATGTCTCTCTCCCTACAATGAATTTCACGTACATTAGATTCTATGGCATGAGCAGTTTTTTTAAGTTGTACTTAATTTGTTTACAGTGGTTGTGCTTGCTCATGAGACTTCACCATCAGCTTCTCACTTCCCCGCATCACTGATCAAGAGAGGGACTGTCACATTACCCAACTGATAGTGCTGATAAATTACAATAGCGTTTTTCTTAAAACTGCAGTGTCAGAGCCAATGGGGATTTCAGCTGGAACTTCTCAAAGTCTCCCATGTAAGTCTGGAAATCGAAGGGCTCAGTCTCACAAAGAGCATTCTGTTTCAGTTCACAAATAACACTTTGAACTTCTTCTTTTTTTCACTGGGTACGTAAAAATAACAGCTTTTGACTACCTCCGCCCACTGCATTGGCTTCAAAACTGGATTGTGACATCCAGAAACAGCGAAGCAAAACCTACACAGATCACACGGGCCAATGTTTCCTGCAATGTTCCACTGGGAGGGCTTTAGGGGATCATCAGCAAAGAATCATTTACAAGAATGTTTAATAATACACAGCACTTATATGACACCTCCCATTTCAAATCATTTTACCAAGTCACAGAGCAGTCACTGAGGCACAGAGGTATCGGAGCTTGCCTAAAGTCACATACATCTACACAGGGGCAGACTAAGGTAGCAGCAAGTTTCAGAGCCTCAGGCTGTGGACTCAGACTCGCGCTACGGTGCACAAATAGCTGCCTAGACATTACAGCTCAGGCTAGAGCTCAAGCTCTGCTGCCGCAGGAAGGGGAAGGTAAGTCTACATGGCTCGTTTTAGTGCCATAGTGGGTGCTTGCGTCTGTAGATCCGGGCTCGGAGACTCGCCGCCATAGGTACTTTTTTCCTGTATAGACATACGAGGAAATGGCAGTAAATGCTCCACTAAAGCCCTCCCAGTGGAACGTTGCAGAAATAGAACTATTGTCCCAAATCTCATTTCCTTCCAGTTCTGACTAGACTGTCCTCTGCCTACCCATATTAGAACAAAGGGTGATCACCACAGAAGACATATACAGCAGATCTCACCAATTCTCTGCCTAATTAGCTCTCCAACTTCAATATACAGAGGATGAAAAATGTTTCATTCATCTTTACTAACATTTGACAACTTTGGTTGTATTTAATTTTATTGTCTGTTATTAAATAATACAAAGGACACTCAGATATAAAGAATATAATCTACTCTAAGGGCCTGAACCTGATCCCACTGAAATCAGTGGAAGTTTTGCAACTGACTTCAAATGAGAGCAGGACTGGGTCTTATTTTAGGGCTTACAATTGTATCAGTTGATGTAGACAGGAATTGACTCACTGCATGGCCTTTGGCAAGTAACTAGTTTCTTTGCACCTCACTTGCTCCATCTATGAAATAGGGATAGTACTTATCCATCATGCTTTGAGATCTTCAGAGGGCTGGTGCCATCTATGTGTAAGTTATTTATAACATATCTAGATACACATGAACAAATTCCTAAAGGATTCTGTAAACTGGCCAATCTTGATTCTCCCTAAACTAGCCACTAGTTAACAATTCGCAAAAAGAAAAGGAGTACTTGTGGCACCTTAGAGACTAACCAATTTATTTGAGCATTTATTTATTTATTTGAGCTCAAATAAATTGGTTAGTCTCTAAGGTGCCACAAGTACTCCTTTTCTTTTTGCGAATACAGACTAACACGGCTGTTACTCTGAAACTAGTTAACAATTGTTTCTCTCCCTCAGATTTAAACTTCGGCAACTTCTATTTATTCTTCTTTCGTAATATTTTGTAGATCTTAAATTCTGAAGGATATCATGTAATAAAAAACATGTTGGAGGGGATGCTTGGAGGTTTTTTTAAACTCAGGGAGTGTCTCCTACACACTATCATTTTCACAAGGTTTCTCTCTCCTGTTCTAGCAAGGCAGCTTTGAAATTCCCACCTGAAAACCTATCCATTCCCCCATATCTATGCTTCCTGCACGTATGATATACACCACCTGATTTGACTTCACTTCCCTTAAACAGGTAGAAAGAAGTTACGGTGGCAACACAGGAAATAACGCACATATGAAATATAGAGGTCACAACTACCTGGCAATCACTAGAAGGTAAACTCCCTTGTAATCCCCACCAACCCCTCCAGGGCAAGTAAACTGGGATCTCCATAAATTGATTTGCACCTTGCTGTGAGAGTGACTGTGGGTTTCAGAAAGGCTTTGGGTCCATTCTCATATCATGTCCCTAGAGAGTAGGAATACTCCCCCCATCCTTTTTAAATATGTTAACTCCCATTAATAGCAACGAGAATAAATACATAAATCAGGGCTTTAAGTAGCTTTGAGACAGGGACACATGAATTGTGCAAAATGAGGTGCCTGTGCTGGGGACACCCAGTGCAGACTAAAAGATTTGTAATCTATTTGGACAGAGAGTGCAAAATATTTTTTTGAGGATAGCACTGGATGCGAAACAAAGGGAAAGGATCTTAGATATGATCTGGAATCCATCCAAGTGCTAAATCTTATTTTATATTTCAGAAAAGGTATGTTTGCCTTGTGTATTAAACAGTGATGAGATCCTTGTGTGTGTGATCCATCAATAACTAACATCCCTGATAAGGAGATGTCATACAGTCTTATTTGAGCACCTAGAAAGTTTAAACATTTAAAACAAACCATTCCCTGGCCTGTTCCTGTCTGGAATTATTAAGTGTTCTTGTAAACTGCCTGGACAATAGCCACTATTTGCCAGCCCTAGGTCAGTGGCCCTATGAACATAACTAGAGTCTTTTCCAACATCTTTTTAAATACAGTCACCTGCTGGTTTAGCCTCAGACCTCTCTTCCTTCACAGGGTGCGCAAGTGAGTGATGTAGAACAATATTTACTCTGTGAGGGTGAAGTCCCACCAACCAGGATAACACAGTCCCTACTGCTATTTTTTTAATTAGATGTTATCTCACCCTACAGGATCCTGAAGTACTTTATAAACTCTATTTGGTACAAAAAGCTCCTCAGAAATGCAGCTCTCTCTGTAGCAGATGATGGTAACCATAAGGTTTACATACAGGAGTGTGAGGAGAGAAAGAATTTTGGCCACCGGTATCAGGACAAATCCCTGCTCTTATCAAGAATGCTTTGGGATCTTAACACCCACATAGATCAGCCAGGACCTGGGCTTTTACAGTTTCATCTGGAAGACCCACATGCAGTAAACTTTATAGAATTCAATCTGTTCACTTGAGAACAAAGAGCCAAGTTAATGCACCTGGGATCTGATTCAGCAGTTCCACCCATTATATTTCCATCATTAGAGCCAACATTTACATGGGAGCAGAATTCACCTTTCCTGTACTTGAGTGCGACCTCTGGCCCTCAGACTGTGTGTCTCACACATTTGCTGGAATGTATCCTCTGACTAAGTTCTCCATACAAAAACCTTAGCTTTTAATTAGTGTGGAGAAAAGGAAACGTGGGATTCCAGTAAGAATGAGACTTGTGATTATCCCCAAACTATAATTAACATTTGTCACCAACATAATTAAGAGTTCTCTGGTTACTTGCAGATATAAAAGTTTCCTCAGTTACATAATAATAAAATTAAGATTTTAAAGGGATATCAACTCTCGTGCTTCACAACCAGCCACTAACTGCTTGTGGGGAGGTTTCTCCTAGCCCAAATGCATATTATGATGTAATTGTTGCATATATGGATTTTATACCTTCTTCTGAAGCATCTGCTACCAGCTACCATGGAAGGGCTATTCGTCTCATTCCATATGGCAAGACCCACCATCATCCATTTTAACCAGTATTGTTTAATTTATTTATAACAGCACTTCACCCTTTATGTAAAAGTAGTAGTATAATGTTAAAAACAAAGACATCTTGCTCATATGAGACCAAACAACAACATTCAGCCAGTTGTTTTTTTTTCAAAAGTAGAACAAAACCACCAGAAAACTCTCAGAAACTCCAAACACTAACGTTTGTCAATTAGAGAAGTGAACAACGGTGAGGTTAGACTGTATACATTACGACCTAAACCACAGAAACAAATGTTCCTGAGAGCACGTGCATTCGCAGAAAGTAAGTACTTTTCAAAAGGAGAAGTTTGCTATTGGGCAGATCAGAGCAACGCAGAATATAGGGCTGAGTGCTCTGTAGACTTTGGAGAAAATCTCCCTGGTTTCAATGGTAAGAGAAAGGACTTGGATGTGCAGGGCCTCCATTCTTGAGTTTACAGGATAAACAGAAAAGATATTTGTACACAATTCTTAATGCTATCCTGTAGCAAACAACCCAGTATTTTTTAAAAGCACATTTCCCTCCCCACTACCTAAAACGTTAAATTGACTTCTTCCCATAATTTGTCTCTTTAGGTTTAGGAATTAGTCATGGGTCCACTTGTCTCCTTCCCACCGGAAAGACAAAGCCTTTCTTCCTAGCCCCTTCGACTCCTCCACACTTTTTGTTCCTTCAGTTTTCCAGAAGTGTTTCAGGAAGAAAAAAAAAACCACCTTTAAACATCTGAATATTTTGTTTTGACTTTCTAAACAAAATATTTTGGTTTTTCAGTTCAAAAAGACTGTGTCAAAATTTCCTTTTGTTTCAATAAAAGCAATCAAAAACATTTTAAAATGGTCAAAATCTAAACAAAACATTTACATTTTGTCAAAACTAAACCTTTTGTTTGACCCCCAAATGAATTATTGTTTTTACTTTACAATTTCCCCCCCCAAAAAAATTTTTTTAGATTATTTTTGGTTTGACCCAAACTGTTTTGGTTTAGGTTTTTTTTTTTTTTTAATTACCATCCATTATTCACACAACTCTGCTCACCACTGCTTCCCTATCAGAGGTAAAAAACCAATGAGGAAGGGAAAATTAGGTCGCCTTCCCACTGAGAAAGAGAGAGATTAACCAGCGCTGCCACTAAAGACAATCACAAACTAGGGAAAGGCTGGAGTTTCTGAAAGGTCAAAGCCCCCCTTTGTGATGATGAGGTCTTACCATAAACGTTGAGGCATGTCCTGCCAGTGACGGATCCCATGGGAAATGTGTTGAAGATACATTTGTAACAGCCTTCGTCCTGCAGGGTGACTGCATGAACAGTAATGGCAGAGACTGTCAGCTCACTCTGGGTGAAGTTCACACGGCTGCTATAGTTACCCAGGATTCTGTGTCCGTTAATCCTGCTGTAGGTTGCTATGTTGCCTTTGCCCTCTCCACTCTCCTTCTGCCAGGTGACTTGCAGCACTTCATGATCCATGACAAGCTGGCATTGGAAAGTAACATTTTCTCCAGTCTTGGACGATTGGACCTTCCTATGAACGACCTGCAGTGAGCCTGTGGGCAGACAGGACACATAATTTTGAGATTCCCTTTCATCCACCATGGCACATACTAAACAGAAATTCCATTATTTACCAAGGCAACACCCCTCTGCAACTTCTGAGTGAGAATTCTTGGCATGCTTTGCCTGCAGACCTTCCATAAAGAGATTCCCTGTGAATCAGACTGGGACATTAAACTTCACCACGACGAATAAAGCAACTCCTAGCCCATTCAATCCTAGGCCTGTCTGCTCAAGTTTCCAGCAAGAAAGCCAGTTCAGATCACAAGAACAAGGGCAATTACATTATTTGTGATGAGGACATTTGTCTGCTCGATCTGACTCACACAACACTTACTCTTAAGCTAATGAACAGCTCCACTATATTAATGATTTCTGGACCCTGTGGACATCTGTCCAATTGGAAGGGAATTCATAAAGCCCTAGCCCCCCACCTTGCCCTTAACACACATTTTGACATCCCCTACATACACATCTATCAGAGACCAGAAAGGTTAGGTCAAGTCAGACTGAAGTTTAGAGTGAATGCTTCAATTATAACTTATTTTCCAACCACAGTCCATGGACCACTAGCCACCTGCAGAGCCCTTTCTGACAGCTCGTAGAATAAAATGTTCTGAGAATCAGTATTAGTGGCAGGTTTCAGAGTAACAGCCATGTTAGTCTGTATTCGCAAAAAGAAAAGGAGTACTTGTGGCACCTTAGAGACTAACCAATTTATTTGAGCATGAGCTTTCGTGAGCTACAGCTTATCAGTTAGAAGGGGACATGCCCATGAAAACCTGTCTCTCTAAGCCAGAGAATCATGGGAGTGGAGCTCACCATGCAAAATTATTGTCCTTCTTCTCTTTAAATGAATAGAAGCAGGCTGAAATGCCATTAAGGCGACAAGTGGGAGATTTCCAGTCTTAATCTTTCACTCAACACTACTTTTCTCACAAAGCCAAAGTTAACATTACTTGGTTAGTTTACATCAGTATGTGTACCATACACCAGCATATGAAGAAAGATGCCAGCAACAACAGGCACAGCATTGAAAAGAGTGTTTTGTACATTCACTGCTGCTTCACAATCCACATGAGAAACTACATATAGTGTTCTTGAAGAGGTAGACGGTTGTCCCATAATACGATGTGGCTATATTTCCTTCACACAGGGTGGTGTGGCAAGGATCAATTAGCCTGTATATCAGTCATTACAAACGACCCCATCTTGACCAGAAGGAATCCATTTACACTCCATAACCAAAATCTCTGTCGTAACGTAAGCTGAAAGCAGTCGTAGTTTAGGTAGCTCGTTTGCTTATTGTAGTTTGTAAATAAATATGTCCACATACCTCGAGCTAATGGATACACTCCTTTTAAATCAAACTAAAGACACTATAAATAAAATCAGAAACATGAATAATGCAGTGACAGCACAGGAAGCATTATCAAGCTCATTTCTGCTTATCTCCAGGTCACATCACCAAGCACAACACAGCTGTGTGTCTGGCTAGAAGTGTTATATCATTGATGGCGTTAATCAGGAGGTGGTAAATGAGGAGCAAGGGGTTCTGCAAAGATCTTATAAGAGCTGTACATCACCAGGTTAGCAGGATGTTTGGTCAACAAAGTTTCACATACAATTTTAGCCAAAGAATAGAAAATTTACCTGCTGCTATCGCCCAGACCCAAGAGAAGAAAATGCATGTGAATATCATCTCAGCTGTGCGATCAACTAGATGAGCAGGCAACAGAAGGCATTCAGTTCTGAACTTCCCTTTTTATACACTACTCCCTTTTGGGACACGCCAGTTCGTCATCTACTGTAAATTATATAATTAGACTCTTCCCTTCCGCAATAACAGTACATTTCCTTTGTAGAGCAGCTATGAGAAATTCCCATTGAAACCTGTATATACTGATGACTACTGCTGCTTTGTAATTCAGAAAAACAAGTATTGGCAGCTAATATGGATGATCTTTCATCTGCACTCATGGAAATTTAAACACAAAGGTAAATGCAGTTGTGTGTATGTGTGTTCATCTGGCTACAAATAAAGGAGAACTAAAAGATGGGATATTGGGAAAGGGAAGGTTAGATGTCACGAGTGGATGCATGTTGGAGGATCTAATTTTCAATCTGCCGGTTGATAACAAGGAATATTATTCTGAAGGTCTCCAGCATAATCCCAACACTCCATAATTCTGCATGATCTACTGGAGAGAAACATGGGCTGGAATAGCCAACTGTAGTGTCAATCTTGAAGGAGATGTATGGACAGAGCGGAGTGAGAGTTAAAAAGACAAAAGAGGGTTTGTTGGAAATCAGGACTAAGGTGAATGGGAATAGCAGGGGTGTTGCAGGAAGTATTGCCAAACTCAAAAAAGATTATCTTGTGGTTTTTTGGCCTGTCCTTTGATATTCCAATTCCTCCTCCCCATCCCCTGGCTCTCCCTCTCTTTGTCAATTAATGCTGTCTCTTCCCTCAAATTTATTGGGTTAATGTGATTTTGGCCCCAACTGCAGAAGCTCTCACCCCCACATCTGTCTGTTTCCTGCCCAGCAAACAGTCCTGTCTCTTCAGTCTCTGGTTCGAGTCTGTCCCCCAGCCTCAGCTCTGCTTCTCCGAGGCTCTTCGCCGCCGCCCCCCCCCCCACCTACCAGGCCTGGGTGATGCAGCAGAGTCCCTCACTCCCCTTTAAAGGCCAGGTGTTACAAGGTGGGAGGAGCAGAGACGTCAGAGGAGGCAGAGGAGGTGTTCTGTTCCCCCTCGCCCCATGAGAATGGCGTCAGGTTGCTGAGGAGAGGAAGAGAGCTCTGCCTGGAGCTGCTGATTGGTTGCTTTGGCCCAGGAAGCTGGCAAGTAGGGCAGGCAGCCATTCAGAGAGGGTTTGCTCCCCAGCATGGCTCAAATTCTCCTGGGGACTGTAGGGTCTCGTGTCATTGTCCGATGGGTGCTAGCCCCTGCCAAAATCCAGTCACTCAAAATCATCATGAGAGTTGGCAACACTATGAAAACTGGTGAATACTGAACACTGGGGAATATTCCAAATCTGTTTATAACATTTTCTGTGTACATTACATTTGTTTACTACAAAATGGTATGGTACTGTTTCTTTGAATTTTGGCAGTCAACTACTGGCATCTAATTAATCAGGGTTTTATATACAATAGCCCTGAGGTTTAACTCCATGTAACACTTTCTGAAAAGTCCTGAAGACAGAACACTAGACTTTCAGACAAGCTCAAGCTCAGATTTTCAGAAGAGCTCTGCTCCCATGCAGGCAGCTAAAGAGAAAGGCCAGAATTTCCTAAGTGCTCATACAACAGCTTTCAACGTTAACGCAATGGGCACCAAAAACTCTTGACAATGTGGTATAGATTGTGGGTAGAGTTGGCTGAAAATTTTTGTCCAAAACATTTTCTTGGCTGAAAAATGCAGATTTGGGTCAACCAAAACATTTCACAAATTTGTGTCAAATTCATTAACTAATTTTGGCTAATAAATAAATAAAATCAGAAAAAAATCAAAATGTTTCATTTTCACATTTTCAAGAAGAAAATGCCACGTTTTGTTCAGGATTTTTACTGCAATTTTGTAAAAATATTAAACTCAAAAGCCAAACAAAATGTTCGGTTTCAAGTCAAATAAAATGTTTAATTTTACTCAATGATTTTTTTTTCATTTTTTGGTTCACACGGTTGTAATTGTGGGTACCAAGCCTTTTGACAATTCTGGCCATAGTTCTTACTCTAATTTTTAATGGTTCAGAATGCACATAAAAGATAGTTAAAACTTAGAGAGGCAGCATGGTCTGGTAGACTGACCACATGACTGGCAGCTAGGTACTCCCAAATTTTAATCCCTGCCACTGATTTTCTGGGTGGTGTTAAACAAGTCTAAACAAGTTAAACAAGTCTCTTATTCTCTCTGTGCCTCAATTTCCTCATCTGTACAACAGGAATAATACAAACCTACGTTATTGGATGTTGTGGGTAGAACTTAGAGTTATTTTTATGAATCTCTTCATTTGATTAGTTTAGTCCATTATTCTCACTGTCAGTTGTCTGTAAACAGGTAATTATTCGTATTAATTTGTTGATAATGCAAATTCTTCAGTAGCTTAAGCCAGCAAATCTCAGCCTGTAGATTGCTCACAAACAGCCTTCACTCAGTTACTCTCTATTCAGAATTTGCTTCTTAGACGTCAATTGATTACCTGAATCCTATGATGTTCTTTCGGTTTCCTGACTGGATGACCTTTTATAAACTGTTATGACACACACAAAAATTGTTTTTTTATTAAGCAAATCTTAGATGCAGGCCTGAAATTTATGGTCCTTGTATGAATATTCAAACAATCTTTGAGTTGCACAAATATTTGTGAAAGGCAAACAAAAACAGCAGGCCCAAATCAAAATATTATTCCAAATTCTCCAAAATGTTCACAAAAACATTTCCTTTTGTGTCTTAGCTCTCATTCTGAGGATTAATTAATTAATGCTATAAGAATGTAAAGGGTTAAGTATCAGTATTACTATATGATTAGAAAAAATATTTTTATTGTGGGTTTGAATAGGCTGCTTGTTTTATGAATACCTAAATATGCTCTCTAGGGTGTCTTTGTAAGACAAACATATCACACTGCTACCAGGAACAAGTAATCTGGCCTGGATTTAAGAAGGAACCATATTCTCAATATTTCATTGCCACTTTAAATGAAACTCAAATCACTTCATGCTTTCATACTTCTTTTTTCTTTTTAAAGAGATCCTGACAGTGTGGTTTCTTTCTTTATTTTTTTAAAACATTTATCATTTTCAGTGTCCCACTCTGCTGCTTGATTCCTGCTAGGAAGCTGTTCTCCCTTTGCAGTGTTTCTGGCCCAACCAAAAATATTAAGTACTTGAAATTTAAGAAAGACTGTCCTTGTGAGATTTCCAGCACAATTTTCCAGATGCTAGAAATTCAGATAGCTTTAGCTGCAGAATGAAACACTGGAATACTGATTCCAAGTGACAGGAAGAACTTGTAGTTCTGAACAGGTGAATTTTGTAGTTTACAAAATATCAAATTTATAATTTCTCAAGGTGTCAGAATTTCTCATACCTGCGTTAAGCCAGCACAGCTCCACTGAAGTCAATGAAATTTGACTTACATGCATGCATGCACTTACATCAAGTCTGGCCTTAGCTCCCACATTTTTCACTAATGGGATACTGATCTGTAGAGAGAAAAGCCCAGATATATTTCAGGCTTAGCTAATGCAGTTTCTTCAATTAGTAGTGTTATATAATTATTATATTATAATATTTAACTGAAGCTTTTCCAGCTGAACTGCACCATCCAGTGATCAAAACAGGAACTTCATTTTATTATTTGTTAAAACTCTATCATGGTCACCATTAAGAGTTTGAATTGCTATTTGCAGGAAGCATAGGTGCTGGAACCCTCTGGCTTGAAGTCGTAACAACAACCCAAATACATAGTTTCCGCCTTCAGTGCCTCACAAAATTTTATTCACCCAGAGTGAATAAACTTTTATAGAAGAATAAAAATAACCATTCAACATTATGGTAAAGGATAGATATTGTAGCTGGTGTATCATAGAATCATAGAATATCAGGGTTGGAAGGGACCCCTGAAGGTCATCTAGTCCAACCCCCTGCTCGAAGCAGGACCAATTCCCAGTTAAATCATCCCAGCCAGGGCTTTGTCAAGCTGACCTTAAAAACCTCTAAGGAAGGAGATTCTACCACCTCCCTAGGTAACGCATTCCAGTGTTTCACCACCCTCTTAGTGAAAAAGTTTTTCCTAATATCCAATCTAAACCTCCCCCACTGCAACTTGAGACCATTACTCCTCGTTCTGTCATCTGCTACCATTGAGAACAGTCTAGAGCCATCCTCTTTGGAACCCCCTTTCAGGTAGTTGAAAGCAGCTATCAAATCCCCCCTCATTCTTCTCTTCTGCAGGCTAAACAATCCCAGCACCCTCAGCCTCTCCTCATAAGTCATGTGTTCTAGACCCCTAATCATTTTTGTTGCCCTTCGCTGGACTCTCTCCAATTTATCCACATCCTTCTTGTAGTGTGGGGCCCAAAACTGGACACAGTACTCCAGATGAGGCCTCACCAATGTCGAATAGAGGGGAACGATCACGTCCCTCGATCTGCTCGTTATGCCCCTACTTATACATCCCAAAATGCCATTGGCCTTCTTGGCAACAAGGGCACACTGCTGACTCATATCCAGCTTCTCGTCCACTGTCACCCCTAGGTCCTTTTCCGCAGAACTGCTGCCTAGCCATTCGGTCCCTAGTCTGTAGCTGTGCATTGGGTTCTTCCGTCCTAAGTGCAGGACCCTGCACTTATCCTTATTGAGCCTCATCAGATTTCTTTTGGCCCAATCCTCCAATTTGTCTAGGTCCTTCTGTATCCTATCCCTCCCCTCCAGCGTATCTACCACTCCTCCCAGTTTAGTATCATCCGCAAATTTGCTGAGAGTGCAATCCACACCATCCTCCAGATCATTTATGAAGATATTGAACAAAACCGGCCCCAGGACCGACCCTTGGGGCACTCCACTTGATACCGGCTGCCAACTAGACATGGAGCCATTGATCACTACCCATGGAGCCCGACAATCTAGCCAGCTTTCTACCCACCTTATAGTGCATTCATCCAGCCCATACTTCCTTAACTTGCTGACAAGAATACTGTGGGAGACCGTGTCAAAAGCTTTGCTAAAGTCAAGATACAATACATCCACTGCTTTCCCTTCATCCACAGAACCAGTAATCTCATCATAGAAGGCGATTAGATTAGTCAGGCATGACCTTCCCTTGGTGAATCCATGCTGGCTGTTCCTGATCACTTTCCTCTCATGCAAGTGCTTCAGGATTGATTCTTTGAGGACCTGCTCCATGATTTTTCCAGGGACTGAGGTGAGGCTGACTGGCCTGTAGTTCCCTGGATCCTCCTTCTTCCCTTTTTTAAAGATTGGCACTACATTAGCCTTTTTCCAGTCATCCGTGTAGTGTAGTGTTATTATAACACTGATTTACTATATTCCTTATACTGGTACAAAGAAGCCTATATTCCCTAATTCATTGGAATACTGTGGTAATAACTATGCAAAGGCAAAGCTGTAAGAGTTTGACAGGGGCCACTATGTGAGAAACGACACATTGACTCTTATTGCTATCCTAATTTAATATGCAGTTAAACATTCTAATCCTTTTAATAATGATCTAGATTCTCTCTCCACTTCAAAGTAACTCAACAGAAGACTTCAGACTTATTCTAACCCAGTCGTGGAACAGTAACAATGCTGTGGGATTCATGTGAACTATCCCACCTAAGCAACCCAGGCCACGAATGAAACTACTAAAAAATATTGCAGAATGAATACGTTCAGGAAAAAAATCACAATCTGTTCTCCGAACAAATAGCCACATTCAAATACATTCAGCTCTTGTACGTGTGCAGCATAGACAAGTTTCATGAAGCAGAGAGTTATGTAACGCATTACTGGGGTTTCAGTGTCTAGTTTCAAGGAGCTGCCAGTAACCTGGACTCAAAACAAGGCTCTCACTTCATCCACCACAGAATTTCAGCCATTCCTAGAGTGAGGCAAACATCCATTTAACTGCAACCCCATGCAACAGTTTAGGACAGGAAGAAGTAAAGGATCCTGTACCCAAATGAAGGTCCTTGATGTCATGCTCAAGTGTTGGTAGACCGAATGCGTGGAAGCAGCGAGGCACAGCACTTGCAGTATCATAGTAAACCCTCTAAATCCATGCTGGGATTTGGAGACCTACAACATGACCAGGATAAGGAGACCAAAGTGTCTGTATTTTGGAAAGGCATAATAAATAAAATCCCACAAGGAGGAACTGTCCTTTAACTATTCTAGCCTATGAGCAAATTACTGCAAGGCTCCAGAGGGAGTGGAGGGCTGGGTGCCTGTAGAACCATGCCATGCTACCAGGGGGCGTGAACCGGGACAACCCTCTGTCAGAGTAGGCTACAGTTAACACCTGTTAATTAAGACTGTAAACACACAGTTAGCAAGTGTAGCATAGATAAACGACAGAGAGAAGTTGCTTAGCTGCCACATCTCTCACAGTGCAACATGTTCACCTGTAAAGCCACAAGCGCGCACCCTGCAGCATGTGCTGTGAAATCATCTTTAGACAGAGTCAGCTCTTTGGTTAACCACTCTCTGCTAGTTAGACCTGCACTTCAGGTGACACTGCTGCAGTGCTTCATGCCTTATTGCACCACCACTGGCGTCTTATCAGTGTCCCCCCCATCAATATATCTACGATAAAATGGCTTATTTAAGAAGCACTGGATCCCTGAGCTCTCCCCTCTGACTGATTTTGTTTCAGGTTCCTCCATTGTTCAGAGGTCTCATTCTTTCCTGTAACTCCATTGGCTCTGAGCAAACAAATAAAAGCAAGGAGAGTTTTT